AAGCATCGAGCCACTACTCATTTCTTTATATTTAACTTCCAAGGAGTCCAGTCCTTTTACCGGACCATTTTTAGAGGAGTAGTTTTTGTTTGTAACGCCACTTAACACTGACCTATGACTCATTTAAGCATAAAAAGACACCCAACTCAAGTGATGAACCAGGGTTGTGTTTACTTACAACAAGCAAATTAGCAATTTGTTACTAGCAGCTAATTACAAACAGATGTAATTTGTTCCCATTCCTTTGGTTTAGCTGAAAACCTCTTGTATGTCAGCATGGTGTGCAGTGTGTCCTTAAAAAATCTGAGGAAACTACACAGGTGTAGGACATAAAAGAAATGACAAGCCTCAAAACTATCTGCAACAGATTAACAGTATCTGATTAGCATTTTTGAGACATGCATCTGGCCCTTCAGTTGATCCATCTACTGTTTGCTTAAGCATCAGCAGAAAGGCCTCAGAATGGTGGCTGTTATAAAATCATTCTTAAGGAAGGACAACTTGGAGAAAAGCCCGAGCAAAAAATTCATCCGCTTGAATTTGAACACTCTTTGCTGTGGAACCAATGCTATGTTACTCTTTCAAAGAGAGGGAAGAAAGAAAATAAAGCAAGACATGGAAACAACTGTGTATAGAAGAACTGCACTGAAAATCAGAGGCAGAAGGTCTAATGGAGTCCATTCTTCCATTTTCTATCTGCTTATTCAATTCAGCTTATCCCGTTGCAGCTGAGCCTATCCCAGCTGTGTTAGGGCGAGAGGCAGGCTACACCCGGGACAGATCACCAGTTTATCACAGGGCTAACACAGAGAGACAGACAAACTTTCACACTCACATTCACACTATGGCCTGTGGTACCTGTGTTTTTGAGAAATGGCAGCACCTACATCCAATTATCCTAGCAAATATAAACAAATGAGGGTTATCTCAATAGTTTTGCACAGTACTCTATATTTTTATTATGAAGTTGTGTTTTTTATCAGCTACCAAAAGACAAAAAAACACACAAATCTTTGTATGAGTTAAATAAAAATTTACAACCTGTTAACTAGTCTCGATTAGCACAGATGGATCTTAAAACCATTCTCGTCTAATTCTGAACAAAAAAGTGAATGAGCTCCCCAAATAGAATCACAATGGGGTGATGAGGGGTCACACTAGGATTCCAAACAACAGGTGATCTTATTACTTGCACGCTTATGCTGTAACCCCAGTCTTGTGACATCATAATGATACTTGTCCAGTCTTGTGCAAGAGGCTTCTTATAGTAAAAGCCTACACTTAGAAGAAGCTAGTGTGTCATATTGTGGTTGTGGTTGTGTATTGAACTGTGTATGCTTCAGGGCTGTTTGTGCCACGTTACTGCCAGTGTGATTGAAGGCAGCATGTTGCATCGTGTTTGGCTGCCTGATTCTGCCTCAAGGCAGCAAATCCTCCACGTGTGACACTGAAAAGGTCTCAACTTGCCCTAATGACTACTCCACAGAATTTCCTAAATCCTGCAACTTTTACTTGACATGTTAAAATACCCCTATAAACTGGGGATTTCCACAGGCAGCTAAACTGGAACCTGTTTAGTTTGTAGCCACTAGTTAAAAGTTAATAATGTAAAGAGAGAGGGAAAGAATGCAAAAGAATAAAGAATGTGAGTTAGCTATTAGTGTGTGTGTTTACACAGCAAGCCTTTCCCAGGTGCTATACGATCCCTAGGATTACAGTGGAAGAAGGGGGATCAAACACATGCGCACACACGCAGAGCACCAACCCTGCCCCCCCCCCCCCCCCCCCCCCCCCCCCACTCAAAAAAAAGGAACGAGAGGAGGGTAGACGGAGAGGGAGGTGCAGAGAGATAACAGATCAGATGGAGGAAGGGAGAGGTAAAGGGAGTGTGAATTCAGCAGATGGTAGCTCACCTCCGCTACAGACTTCACAGGACAGAGCACAAAGGGTGTCTTTGAGTCTGGAGTATCTCCTGCAGTATCTCTTTTGTGTATGAATGAGCCAATTAGAGAATGGTGGGACTGTCATCCACTGCCCGTGAAGGTAAGTGTTTTGAAAAGAAAACAACAAGAAAACAGATATTTTATAAATGTTGGTATATTAAAGCATCTGATGCTACAGGATTTGGGCATGCCGAGGGAAAGAGAGGTGTGTTAGCTGCGGGGATGTAAAGACACTAAAGGTGTCGTGCCTTCAATCCAAACACAGTAGGAATCAGATGATGTTTACTTCATGCCTTGAGGGCCATGCCAGCTCACTGAGACACAGAGAAAGGCAGAAATGTTGAATTGTTGAGAAAGCTGTGTTTGCCAGGGTCGTTAGTGAAACATTGTAATTTCTGAAGCCTCTGAAGACTCGTTGTGGGCTGCAAATTCTTGTTGGATAAGTTGGAATGTCTGCTTACAGTGATGTTGTGAAACAAAGCTGCTGCTGACTGAATCCTGTCACTTTCGACATACTGTTATGTTAAGTTTGTTTGTGTGTGTGTGTGTGTGTGTGTGTGTGTGTGTGTGTGTGTGTGTGTGTGTGTGTGGGTGGGTGGGTTGCATGGCAAGAAAAGAAGTCAGCTCAGCATGAGGGAGGTCTTTGGTACTTGGAGGGAGCGGGGGGGGTTGAGAAAAATGGTGCAATCGTATGAGGTCAGATTATTCTTTAATTTAGACGTTGTTGGGCATGTTAGCACAGGTGCTAGACTCACTGAAATTATTCACCCATCATTCAACCGTACAGAGTTGGCACAGAAAGTCTACAAATGTAAGCTCCTTTTAAAGGCCTGAGTCTGCAGTGTTAAACAAACTACCCTCTCCACTTAACAAAGGTCTACACACACACACACACACACACACACACACACACACACACAATGCAGAGTCTTGCACTATGAACGAGGCGAGGAATGTGTCTGGTGTTTAACAGCAATTGTTAAGCAAGTGTGAGGAAACCAAGTGTGTTCTAAACTTTGACTGACTTTGCAGACCTGCACAATCTTTTTTCTCTGGTGTCTTAAGTCTTCTACTTTATGATGTCTTTTTTTTTAAAAGCTGAAAGTACACAAAGCTTAGAATAAAGTTATCCTTTGACCTTCTATGGAGACACATACATTGCTTTCACTACACTGAACCACATTTTCATCTATCACTGTAACATTACGGGAGCTTTTGCCTAATTAGTTAGAAGACATCGGTTACGTATCGCATTCAAACACACGCACGAGCAGTTGCAGCATAAAAGCAAAAGATGACTCGCCGCTTAAGACGTGTGACGACACTCGTGCATGGTGTGTTGTTAATTATAAAGGAACGATGGACGACTTGAGGGTGGTCTTACGTGCCCCTAGTGCCAAAAATGAGGAAGTAATTCCTTCTCGCTCGCCCTTGCACTGTAAACGTGAAATTGGGTAATCTGATTTTTAAGGAGTAAAATTGTGAAACCGTTTTTAAGGAGTGAGGCGACCTACTTCACGCCAAATCCTTTGAAAGCGTCGCCTCAATTTCTCTATTATATTATATGTAATATACTTGATTTAGTGCTGACTGGTGTAAATTTCAACTTCTCTCTGCAGAGAATGAGTCATGCTGTGGATACGGTTTTGTCTTACACTTAGGTTAGGGGAAGCCCAGTGCTACGCTAGAGCCAGAATCTAAACAGCTGGAACCTCTGGCAGAGTAACAGCGTTCACCAGGCCCACACATCCCACTCTCATGAGTTTCCTGTCCTTCCACTTCCTCATTTCCCTGCATGAATTAGATGTTAATGAGGACACATTCCAGCTCACAGCATGGATTAAATCCTCATGCCCGTTCCTCAGAGTGGGAGCGGGCTGTTATTACAATGGAAGGAAACCAGGCTGGTACAGGAGTCAAAGTGGTTAAACAGACACAGGCAAACATACACCTACTGTAGCTGTTGTTGCTTTTGACCGTAGCCTTGGCTGGGCATTGTTAAAACCCATAGGAAGACCCACCTAAGAAAAGTATGTCTGTCTTTAAGGAGTGGGAGCACCCTGAAATGTAGGACATACATCACTGACAAACAATAGATATTTTCTCCAGCTAATTTATTTTCTGCTTGTCAGAGGTGATTACATGCAAGTTCACTGCGTTGGGGTCATACGTTGAGACAGCCAACATTCTGCCTCAACTTATTAATGTGCTTTTTAGGCCTGTGTACAAAATCCTGCACACGATGGTGGTTCGAGTGCATTTTCTAGATAAGCAGACAAAAGTTAAGATTTGACACACCTCGCTAAATGCACAACACATGAGCCTGCCTGTGCGTTTTGGGCTTGTGTGCACGAGTGTATGTGTCTGTTTCTGCCTGTGTTTGTGTGTGTGCTTAGCGCAACAGGTCTTGCTGCCATATGAGCACACTCTGTACAAAGAGTTTTCTGGCTCAGCGGCTGTCCCGCGGCTGACCCTAGTAAGACGCACGGTTCGCTAGGTCCAAGGGGCCTGGACTCTGAAAATTGGGTAGGAGGGAGGGGAGAGAGTAAGAGATGGAGGGGAATGGGAAGTAGGGGGAGGCAGACAAGAATGCCAGCAGTGACTCAGCCATTTGTTAGGTTTTGTTTTGTTTTTACATACATAAGCATACATACATAAACTGGGTGCTAGAATACAGACGGTGGTTACAAACGAGCTAATGGAAACACCTCGGGAAGCTGGAAGAAACAAAAAGCGCTGCTTGGTGGCACTGGCTTGCAGCAGGTTGCAAATCTTTTCTCGACTGAAGCCTCTTGGCATTGTTTAGTCTGGATAGACAGAGGGAGATAGAAAGGAGACTCAGTGATGAGATGGCTGATGGATATTGACAAACTGTGAAGCAGAGTGACACAAATTGAAAGAAGGACGAGGGGAAAGCAAAGCAGAAAGAGCCTGTTGGACATACACCAGGGATTTGTTTAGACTTGCTAGTCTGACCTTTGCCCTCTCTAATTATACACAAATGCTTGCACATATACTCACACACCCCTTTGACCATTTGCCCTCCTCTCTGCGCAGCAATGGAGGTGTTGGTGAGTGAGCTGGGCGTGCTGCTGAAGATGCTGGACCAGGAGAACCTCAGCTCCACCACCCAGGAGAAGAAGACCTCAGTGCGGAACCTCCTGCAGCAGATAGAGCCATCAGGTAACAGAGAGGAAGGAAATTCATTTTTACACTAAGTTCTGAATGATTGCACACATAAGGTTTGTTTTTTTTTAATGCTGTTTTTTTTTAACTTACTGCTGCCTGTGTTTTCTTCTTCCTCCCCTCTAGTGTCAGGAACAGACTACATCTACATGAACTCATCAGTGTACAGAAATGGCACGAGCTTTGTAGAGTCTCTCTTTGAGACATTTGGTGAGCTCCACCATAGTGAGATCAAATGAAAGCCACTTATGCAAATTCCCTTCCCTTAACATAACGAGAATAAATGAATGTCTCTTTTTTTTAAGATTGTGAGCTTGGAGACCTAAAGGATGTTTCTGATGATGTGAAAGAAAACAAGAATGCACAAACTGAAACTTCGAAAAAGGCAAGTGAAAAATATGAGAAAATATGAGAACTCATATTTTGGAAATTAACTAAATATTGGCTTAAAGTCCTGAAGGTGAAAGGATTCCGTGTGTGGGCTGTAAGCTGTTTAATATCAGTCTTTTCAGCACTCGCTGCCCCAGTTGCACTTTGCAAATTGCAAATCCAAAAGAGGCGATGAAAACCAGAGACTGTGTTCCATATTGTGGGGTTTTCCCTTTGCTCGACATGCTCATTGCTCTGTAAACTGCTGGACGAGTGAAGACTTGGGGATCCGCCCAGAGCCCATGCGTCTAATTTATGGAATTTTTTACAGGGTTATTCTGTGCGTCTCTTTGATTATGTAGCTCTTTTGGCCTTTTTGGCTATAGAGGAAATTTGAGAGCTTTGTTTATATTTATGTGTCTCCCTTAGCAGAGCTGTGTCGCCCCACACTCAGCTGACTCGCCACCCCCGCTGCCCACAACCCCTCCTCCAGAGGAGTACTACGAAGAAGCAGTGCCCCTGGGCCCTGGCAAGATGCCTGAGTATATAATAACAAGAGGTCAGCATGTTCCCACCTCAGTTGAACTCAGTGACCTTAGTGTTCTAGAATTTTCCATGCACAGGATATAATTGATATGAACACAATCATATAGCAGGATGTACCACAGATAATTAGCGCAACAAAAGCTAAATTGCATTTTTTCCTTCCCTTTCCAGTAAGGTCCAGCCCTCCTAACTCTATAGAAGATGGCTATGAAGATACAGAAAACCAATACCCCACTACCTGCTCAAACCTACGTCGCAAAAACTCCTGTGAGAACACCCACACGTTTCCAGGATCGCCGGATAAATCCTGCGTTTTTCCAACAAATAAAGCTGACATTTTCCCTCTCTCTGTCTTTCTCATTGCTTCAACAGACAATGATTCTGATGCACTGAGCAGTTCTTACGAGTCCTACGAGGAAGACGAGGAAGAGAGGAGCCCAAGCGTCCGGCTTACTCATCAGTGGCCCTCCGATGAGAGCTCCATGCCTCCTGCCAGGGACTGTCGCATTTGTGCCTTCCTGCTGCGTAAAAAACGCTTTGGGCAGTGGGCCAAGCAGCTCACTGTCATACGGGACAACAGGCTACAAGTGAGATGCTGCACTTTCTCATCTTCCTTAAAGGATGTTCTTTACTTATGTATCTTTCCTTTTTTTCCCCCCTCACACGTACCACATTTTGTTCTTTGTGCAGTGTTATAAGAGTTCCAAAGACATGTCCCCCTACGTGGACCTGCTGCTGCCCCAATGCACTGTAGTCTACGTCCCCAAAGACACCAAGAGGAAGCATCATGAGCTTCGCTTTACCTTACCCAATGGGGACGCGCTGGTGCTGGCGGTACAGAGCAAAGAGCAGGCCCACACGTGGCTTACGGTAATTTTAGCATGCTGCAATTTTATGCAGGAGTCATGTATTTTCCTCTGGTATAGCTGCCAATCATCAATGGTCTATCGAGGGGGGGGGGGGGGGGGGGGGGGGGGTTAGCATCCAGTCCAGAGTGATAAGTGCAAACTTTCCCGCAGGTTGTCAGAGAGGTGAGCAGTCAGAGCGCAGCACCCGAGGAATCGGCATCTCCTGTCATTCTCAGAAAATGTGAACTTGATAAGGTAAGCGTGAGAGAGAGGATGTTTATGTGAGTGTATCCTTGTGGGGGTTTTTTTTGTTATATCCCCGAAGTCCGTAATTCTTCCTTACAGCAGCTGAGGCGAGGAATGCTCAGCAGCAAGCAGCAATTGTGCTGTCAGCATCAATTTTCCTAAACAATTGTTTGGCTCAACACAGATACCTGTGTTTGGCTCGCAGAACAAAGAGGAGATAAGCAGGGTAATTAGGAGTTAAGACTTCGTTGACGGAGGTGGTGGTGAGCCAATGTCGGAAGAGGCACATCCTCTTTAGGAGTTTATTAGATCACAATCTGCAACAGGCTCTCATACAAAAACAAATACTAAAACAAGGGGAGCCCATATAGAGCTGGAAGGAGACTATTTGTTTAATTATGCCATGTGTTTGTATTTAGGAAACAGCATGACAGAAAGACGTCTAAGAAGGTGGATATGTATGAGAAGAAATGCCTTTAAAGTATAGTTATTTAGCTCTTTATTAGTCAAAGGCAAGTGTAGACCAGCTTAGCTTAGAATGAAACCTTGGGCCCTGATAAAATCTAACCTTGTGTTGGCGTGTTTGCTTCTGCAGAGGTTGTCTGCGGAGAGGAACACATCAGATTCAGACAGTGTGGGCGTGTCAGCTGGAGAGAACTGCAGAGAGAATGGTAAGGCAGAGATGCACGCAGTCTTAAAGCATTGCAGCTGTTCCAATTAGAGGTTGCTGGGATGTAATTTGTGTGACTCTTCCATATTGCTGCATTTATGCCATATGAGATGGGAAGGATTCTGTTGAAACATGTTGATAAAATAAAACAGATTGGGAATACAGTTCCCAAACGACACAGATAAATCCAAACAAAAGCATCTGATTTTGAACTCTTTTTAATTCTTTTATTTTTAGGTAAGGTGAAACGGGGTCCTTTTGCTGCGGGGCGTAAGATCACACGCATCATCAGCTTCTCAAAGAAGAAGTCAACTCGGACAAGTGACCCACGGACATACAGCGATCCTCGGCAAGGTCAGAGCCCGCTTCAATGTCGTGCTTCAGGAGTCCAAGTTTGCGGAATGCGTAACTCTTCCTTTTCTCCTCGCTATGCAGGCCATTTGTCAGTGCTGGTGAACCAGGTGTGGCGGGAGCAGTGGTGCTGCGTGTGCAGAGGTGCCCTGCACTTCTACAACGACAAAGGAGATCCTCGGATGTCTCTCCCTTCCCTTCCTCTCCACGGCTGTGAGGTGGTTCCGGGACTCGGACCCAAGCACCCCTTTGCCTTCCGTGTCTTACGGGACAGCACAGAAGTGGCTGCCCTGGAGGTGTGCTTCTTGTTTGATTATTTCAAAGCTGCACGATATTACCAGAATGGTCGAATCTGTGAGAATTGAAAAGAGTCATCTTTCATAAGAACATAAGCAGGGAGATATTTTTAACCAGCTCAACAGTCTCCATCTGCCCAACAGAGGTGGTAGGCTTATTGTCGGGTTAATGTTTTGATTCAATCTCATCACTCTCGTCAGCTCGACTCGGTCAGCACTGGGCAGCTGTTTCAGTGAAAAGAGCTCAGATAAACAGACTGTGAAGCAATTATCAGCTAATGAGCCAGATGTTTCTCTCATCCACTCGAATACCTGCAAAGCAAAAACAATCACGATCTGTACAAAAGCTTCAGAAATAATCCGAATGCATACTAACGTGCATATCACACGACCATTCACATCCCATACATCACCACAGTCTTTAAGTAGATTGAATATTAAACTTGATTATTTATTTATTTATCCAATGCCTTTCTTTTAAATTGTCAGGCAAGCAGCTCAGAGGAGCTTGGACGGTGGCTCGGTCTCCTCCTGGCAGAAATGGGCTCTGCGACAGACCCAGAATCACTGCATTACGACTATGTAGATGTGGAAACCATTGCTAACATCCGTGATGCTGCGCGGCATTCCTTCCTGTGAGTGAGATGAAGCGGAAGGGGGTCAGGATCCATGGACAAGTTCAAAGCTAGGCCATCAACCAAAGCAGCGATGTTTTTGCTTACATCATTTTTATGTAAATTTACTTTGTCTGTTGTCTCTCAAACTAGGTGGGCTACCTCCTCCAGCAGCACCTCCACAGATTCTAGAACATACGATGAGGTACCTAACGAGGATCTGCAGGTAAGCAGGACACTCACGCTCAGAAATCACGCGTTAACTTTGATGTGACCAGATCAGAAGATGTATGGGCATGCAGCTGTTTGGGTTTTCGCTGTCTGACATCCCATCAGTCACCCAAATAAATAGACAGTGCTCTGCTGCACTCCTATCAATGATGCCTTTTTTTTTTACCACAGAAAGATCAGGGTGTCCGCATTAGGGAAAAAAAAGATAAAGTGCTCTGACTGGTGACAGGAAGGCAAGAGGTCATAGCAGTTTCACAGCCTGTAAACTCCTTTCTTAACCCCATTAACATGCACTTTAAACACATGCCTCTCACCACCTACAACCAAAAACACACACACGCACACCACAGCAGTCTCAAATCACTAAATCCCGAGACACGTTCACTGCATATCCTGATAAACAAATTTAACTTTTCTTGATCTGCCCTCACTCTTCCCACATCTGTCACTCCCCCCGCCCTCTCTCTGCTCCACCCAGTCAGGAGAGAACCGCAGGCAGCAGTCTGGGAATACAGGGAAACGGCGCTCAAGTTTCTCAAGCAGCGACTCTGACAGAACCAAACCATTAGTCTCCCTGAAGCGAATAGGCTCACGTAAGTGTGCTCAGTTTGTTTTCCAGTGTGACTTGCAGTTCATCAAGTGGTGCTGAGTCTAACCTTGTGAAATAAATTCTAGGATTTTCCAAAGAGCAACAAAAAATCCTCTATTTTATTTACATACTTAGCTTTTAATTCAATGCTTCCTAAATAAAAAGGAAGACATCTTTAAACGCCCCTCTTCGGAGTGTGACTAAACTGTCTCCTGACTTGTTACATTTGTGGTAAACTGATTGTTTTAAACAATTTTTAAGGCAATTCTCTTTTTTTATTGTTCTGTCAGTATGAAACTTAAAATATTGCTTTACAACTTTGAATCATTGCCATTTATTGTTTAATGTGCAGCCTTATGAGCAGTGCTGGTGTCTTTTTTCAACTACTTTGAAAGGAGCTGACTTCACATTTATTAACTTACAGGCTGAGTTTATTAATATACTTTGTTGTTATATTAAGTATTTTTTCTATTTTATACTGATCCTTGATTTACATCTGTGTGATTAAAAAAAACCCCATAAAAACAGCTCAAAATACTGTGGTGGGGGGGAGAAATAATTCTTCTTAATACATCAATATTTCACTAAGTCATAGATTCCAGTGCTCTTGAGCTCATATAGCTTACACTCCTTCGAGTTGTGGGCTTAAGCACTGGCAGTCATAAAATTTGAGCAGTCATCTGGCTCAGTATTTCTTCTTTTCTTCTCTTCACTCAATCATCTTCTCACTTTCCGCCCATATTCCATTCCCTCTGCTCTGGCCTCTCCCATTTGCTCCCTTTTGTCATTCGCTCTCTGCTGCACAAGTGAAGGAGATGAGCGTCTGAGTTACAGAAAAGTGATATCAGTGCGGATTTCTAGCGAGGATTCCTCTTCTTGCCGCGTCTCCGCTGTGGTCTTCGCTGTCACCTTCTGGCACATCAAAGAAGCCGCGCTTTCCATGGGCTGAGAGCTGCAGGATGTAACCTGAGATTTATTGGACACTCGCATTAGATCTGCTGCCTCACCCTCTGACCTCTTACCCCGCAGGAGTGTGTGTGTTTATCTTTAATTCCTGCAACCATATCACCGGGTTTCCTTGAATTTACAACGCTGTATTATGGCCATTATAGGTTAGGGTTTGCTTTGGGGTGAGTGGAGCATGGTAAGATAGTAAGTTTAATGTCTGATGCTTAAAGAAAGAAAGAAAAATCAAACATCCTCTGAAACATAAATGGGACATGAACACAAAAATATTATGTTCTCTAATATTAAAGCCACACAATTTCTAGAAAAATGAACGCTGTCTCTCTCTGGCCTGTTGTAAAAAACGACCATGCTCTACATCCATGTGACACTTACAGGCAGCTTCATATTGCCCCCACGGAGAGCATAGCATTAATTATGCAGACAGGCTGCCGTGAGAGGGTTTTGTCTTGTTCCCATAACCCCTGTACATCTGACCTTTAACCTTTGCTCTCATCCAGATACCAGCCAGTACGGGAGGTATGGGAAAACGCGAGCAGAAGAAGATGCCAAACGCTACCTGAGAGAAAAAGAGGAGCTGGAGAAAGAGCGAGATGGCATACGTAATGCACTAGTAACCCTCCGACAGCAGAAGAGAGAGCTGAAAGAAGAGCTGAAGACAGCTGCAGGTAAGAAGATATAAAGTCAGGCATGAATGGTTGCTCTTTATTGTTGAAGCAGTCCCAAAATGAAAAACACAACTAAAACATGCATGTACCCTCTCGATGATTAACTAATGTATGAAGACATAGTTACAAGGCACAAAAAAAAAAAACATGGGAGGATTTTAGTCTTATTTTTGCAGGATTCATTGGTGTGTTTGTGCAAATTTGCCAGACGTCCTTTACATCATAACGCATCACGGCTCTTTATATGACCCCGCATTGTGACCTCCTTTATTATAAGGCCATGAAAGAGCAGAAGTTTCCCATGCAGCATTTGTATTAAAATTATTACATGAAACAACATGCTTATGAAAAAAATGTCTGCTATCTCTAATTACCTAATTTCCTCTAGTACTGTGTGGCGTGCTTCCAGCAGAGGCAGAGGAAACAATCATAACTGTGCCACAGAAACACAACTATATGAAACCTATTACATTTTAGATCATCAACACATTTTAATGAAGCAAAATGTTTTCTTTAAAAACATCTAAGTAGTATTTTTAGGTTTCATAATTAGATTCGATTTTTTTATACAGTGCTTAAAAAATTTATAACAGCATCCTGCATTGTGAGGTTTATGCTGCAGTTGTTGAAATATTTTTTTAATGTTAATAACTTGTTTCAGGCTAGTTGAGCAGTATGTGTAAGTCTTTTACTTGAAATTGTACTTTTAATGCTAAAATATAATTATTGTTGTTATCCAGTAATATTCGACTATACTGTTTTACAAAATAAAGTAAAAACAAAAAGTGATAGCACATTATTATTAAAAATAAGTTTATACTAAAAATGTGTTTTAAAATCAAATCAAATCACTTTTATTGTCACATCACATGTGCAGGTACATTGGTACAGCACATGTGAGTGAAATTCTTGTGTGCGAGCTTCACAAGCAACAGAGTTGTGCAAAATACAATAATGTAAACAAGCAAAATACAAGAATGGCTACATCTGAAACTAATAAATATATGTACAATATATAATAGTATATGCATTTCTGGATGTGTATATTAAATATTTTTCTACGTGTGTGTGTGTGTGTGTGTGTGTGTGTGTACACATATTTTACAAATTAAACAATAAATAAAATATATAAAAATATACAGAGTTGAGACATGTGCAAAACAGTGGCATTACTGTACAGTATGGAGTGCATAATGTTAAAGTTCCAGTAGTGAAGCTGAGGTGTCTATGACGTGTTTTTTAGTGGTTGAATGTTATTCTTGGTTAATTTCCAAATACAGAAGTCCGGTGGCTTTAAAAATGTGAATTCAGTTTGCTATTTGCGTCTTAAATAATGATACAACTTTTTCTCCTTTATTTTAGTCTTAAACAAGTTTTGGGCAAATTTCTAGAATATTTTTGTTTTCTTGCTTTTTTTTAACAGGTGGTCTAATAAATTTCATCGCTAGATAAATTAAAAAAAAACCCAAAATAAACAAAAAAAATTTCTCTTGAGATTGAGATTGATTTATTGTAAAATCAATAAATTTAGAACTTGAGTAAGTGCTTTATTTTGAAAACTGGAATTTTAAGACTTATTTATAATGCAAAGGATATGAACGTACAAATGCGTATCTTATTGTTTTGATCTATTTCTGTGAATCTGTGTGGCAGATAAGAGGAAGTCCTTCCTGAACAAGCGTGTGGCTCAGTTGGAGGAGGCCTGTCGAGCTAAAGAGGCAGAGAGGGTGGACCTGGAACTTCAACTGACTCAGGTCAAAGAAAACCTAAATAAGAGCCTGGCAGGAGGAACCCTGGGGGCATCAGCGGAGGCTAAACCTCCTGTTCAGGTACCGCTTATGCTTAATGTAGAAAGACAGGCCCTCTGCATACAAAGATTTTTAAATACTTCTATCCTTTTTCTATATTGTCCAGGCTTCTAGCAAGAAGATCCAGAATATCTACAGTGATTCTTTACCAGTAAATTGTGCCGCAGAGCTGCGTAGGAGGCCACCGTCTGTTTACGCTTCTTGTACTGGAACTGTCATGCAGAAAGCAAAGGTAATAGTGATGAAATTCATCCGTTCTGCTGCACGCAGTTCAGTTGCTCAGCTTGTCGTGTATTGTCATGTTTTCTTTTCAGTCTCCTCAGGGAGTTAATAGAGTCACCGCGGCATGTACCATCATCTAATGGGTTTTTCACAGTTCGCACATAAATAGATAGTCATCATATGATAGTGCACTCAATGTAGATATTAGTGGCTCTATGTGTTAATGAAATGTGAGGCGGTCTACGAGGAAGCAGCAATAAAAAAAAGTGTATTGCAAAATTGAAGCATTACAAATACACCATATTGTTCCATTGACTTTCATGGCCACAGGTGTATTAAGTCAAGCACCTATTTATGCTTCTAAAAACATTTGTGAAAGAATGGGTCGCTCTCAGGAGCTCAGGACCTATGAAAAAAGCCCAGTCGTGAAATTTCCTCACTACTAAATATTCCACAGTCCGCTGTTAGTGGTTTTATAACAAAGTGGAAGTGATTAGAAATAACAGCAACTCAGCCATGAAGTGGTAGGCCATGTAAGATCACAGAGTGGGGTCAGAAGCACGTAGTGCACAGAGCTTGTCAGCTTCCTGCTACAGACCTCTGATGTGGCCTTCAGATTAGCTCAAGAATAGTGTGGAGAGAGTGTCATGGAAACGGCTCCATCCAAGCCTTACATCACCAAGCTCGATTCAAAGTGTCAGGCGCAGTGGTGTGAAGCATTCTGCCACTGGACTGTAGACTGCTTCCTGTTACAACATAACTGTGCACCAGTGCACAAAGTAAGGACCATAAAGACAGAGTCCTGACCTCAACCCAACACAACACCTTTGGGATGAATTGGGCGGAGACTCAATCCAACATCAGTGTCTGCCGCTGGAAGAATGGGCAAAAATTCCCATAAACTCATTTCTAAACCTTTTGGAAAGTCTTCCTAGAAACGTTGAAGCCGTTATAGCATCAGTGGGTGGCCCAATGTCATATTAATGGCTTCAGAATGAGAAGTCACTCAAGTTCATATGTGTGTGAAGGCAGACGAGTGAATACAATTTAGTGCACCATGACCTTGTTTTTCATTTCATTTTTTCCCCAAAAAGCTTTAGGTTTTCATTCTGTTAGATTACTGTAAACAACTATTTAATGATATAAGTACACTTTTGTGTTTCCTGTGAAATTAATTGAAATCTGTTTTCACATCATTAAAAAAAAAAATCTGATTTTCTTTCTCTAGGAATGGGAGTCAAAGAAAGGAACCTAGGATGACGAGGGAAATAATGCATATCTGGAAGAGACTTTGGACCCTTTGTCTAAAATTTGCCATTTATAAATGAAAGTCAAGACTTGTTTCCTTTTTGGATTGCTGAGAAACTGCATAAACAGTAATGAAAGAAATCAGCCACTAGGTGGTGGTACAGCTTACTGAATATTTCCAACGACTGTTTACGGTCTGTAGCCAAGTATTTTCACTTTCTGGAAAGGTGCAGTTTAAAATTTTGGAAAAGGAAAACAAAAAAATCAAGAAGGGTAAGTTCAGCAGAGAAAGGCAACATAAAAGTATGGAAAGCACTACAAATGAATAAAATGTAGTGTGGAAAAGAGCCAGAAATGTTTAAATGGTGTCGTGAGGGGAAAAAAGAAGGCCAAAGCAATGTGACGTATCGGAAGCTTTGAGAATGAAAGACAGTTTAAGCCATGATGTGCCTTTTAGGTGACATAATCTTTTTTGTTTTGCCTGTACATAATGAGCGCCAACTACTGTTCTATATGTGTTTGTACTTAAAATACTGTACAGCGCTTCATTCCTCATCACAAAGTGTGCAAAAGTTTTAGGCACAGTTTTCCAAGGTAATTGGCAGGTATGTTCCTCTGGGGGTTCAGGCTCTCTGAGTTGCATCAAGTAATCCCATAGTGACTCTCTAATCTTCAGATAATACCATCTGCTGCAGCAGTCTCTCTATTTCTTGATGTTTCTTTAATGACTCCACAGTGGCTCATATCCCTTAATGTTGCTACTCCTTTTAAGTGCCTAAAATTTTTTGTGCATTTTTCTGCCTGAAGTCAGTATTCGGGTACGTGCCATAGAGGATTCTGGGTAAAAAACAAAGTAAATCCATGCTTGTCCTGATCACCCTCTTTGGCACACATTTAAATACAGCTGAATACTTACATTACAGATCATTGAGTTACTAACAAAGTGGTGCTATCAGTGATAGAAATCTGTCTTTTCCTTTTAATGAAATCATCAAATGTCATTTTAACACCTTCCTTACCAAACCTGTGGTCGCCTGTTGCACTTTACTGTTCTCGTACCCGGATGAGGGAATAATAAATGTGTCTCTTATTTTCCCAAACAATTCCTGTTTAATTAACTTGTTACTAAGCACAGACTGAATTTCCTTCTCATAAAATGCACCGACACATTCCAGTCACTGATGTAGGCTTTTAATTTCACATTGTACGGCGAAACATAATCATACAGTATATGGTCTCATGCAAACAATGCATAGCAACCAACTGTGTGGTGCTGTTCAGCATCCTATTCATTCTAAACTCTTCCTCATTTGATCTATGGATTGGTCAGTAGACAATACAGGCTTTGCATTACCATGCTTACATGCTGATGTGCTGGGAGCCAACTCTTTGCACACAATCAATAACGGCCCTTGTTGCAGAGCGTAGTCCTGACCAATTGATTTTTCGCCATCCAATAAATAAGCTGTGTCAGGTCCGTTCGTATTCAGACCATGGCGACTGGTGTTGGATCTTAAATGAGGAGGTAGAGCAGCTTCAGGTTGGTGAAATTAAACTTTCCACGGCTTGGAATGAGCACTTACAGAAAGAGATAATAAAGCCAGTACAGGATATTGACAAAGAGGAATGCTGTGGGGAAAACTGTGCGGGCATAGCGATCAATGTTGTGTGGATTTTCCACAATGAAGACAGATGCCGCCTTACGTGATGCGTCTCTCACTGACGACAAGCCGCAGCCCTGATTTGGCGCCTTCTCTTTTGTTCCTGTGTGGTTCTTGGTGTCGCTGTTCGCTGACTGCTCCGTGGAGTCCTCTGCGGTGGAGCCGATCTCCACGGACTGATTTGGCTGGCTGGAGTTGACGATGGGGATAGAGCCATTTCCATTAGACTCGCTGAGCTCCCTCAGAAGGTCCTGTTACATGGGCAGATAAACCGATGGATTGATGTTTACAGTAACAGAGAATCTTTCCATTTTTATCTGTGTCATGGTTATGTGTCTCACCCGATATAAATCCTCAATGGTCTGGTGCTGCATGGTGTAAAAATGAGCGCAGGCATACTCCAACAGTGCGCCAAAAATGAAGGTGAAACAGATGCCCAAATAAACATCTATGGCCTTTATAAAACAGTTGGCATTGGGCAGGGAAGTGCGGGCACCCATCATCAGAGTTGTCATCGTCAGCACTGTTGTCACTCCTGCAGACAGATCAGAGGGTTGGGATTTTTTTCTTTATTTCCAGCATGTCCCAGCAATTAAATCAAGCAAACAAATATTTAGTTTGTCCATTCCACACTACTCTTGCTCTTCTTTCAGGGGCTTTTTTTGTTTATGCATTCTCTTTATTATTTTCTTCAAGCAAACAACATCACTGCTGCTGTAGATGTGAGACTAAAGGATCCAGATCTTAGAAAATACTCAGTGTATGGGGAAATTGTATTGAAAACAAACATGTGGAAACAGAAAACTTGATGTTTTTTTCAGTGAAATCTTAATCAGTGATGTATTTCTGTATCTACCATCATCAAGGAGGTCATGTTTTTGGGTGTGTGTGTGATTTTATTCTGTCTGTTTGTCACATTTGCTTGAGTGGGGTCATGTTAACAAGCAATTAAATATTTGCCTTAAAGTTTCCAAGGTCAACACAATGATTTATTGGTCAAAAATGGACAAAAATCTTACAAGTGTGGTGTGTATCTATGAAGCGCCTTGAGGCGACTTTTGTTGTGATTTGGCGCTATATAAATAAAATTGAATTGAATTGAATTGAAGTGTATTGTTAACACATCAGTGTAATGCTATATAGAGTTATTTAAAACCATCTTTCTTATTTCTTGTATTGACAACATATAGTGAATCACATCAATACAGTGGCTTGCAAAAGTATTCGGCCCCCTTGAACTTTCCCACATTTTGTCACATTACAGCCACAAGCATGAATCAATTTTGTTGGAATTCCATGTGAAAGACCAACACAAAGTGGTGTACACGTGAGAAGTGGAACGAAAATCATACATGATTCCAAACATTTTTTACAAATAAATAACTGCAAAGTGGGGTGTGCGTAATTATTCAGCCCCCTTTGGTCTGAGTGCAGTCAGTTGCCCATAGACATTGCCTGATGAGTGCTAATGACTAAATAGAGTGCACCTGTGTGTAATCTAATGTCAGTACAAATACAGCTGCTCTGTGACGGCCTCAGGGGTTGTCTAACAGAATATTGGGAGCAACAATACCATGAAGTCCAAAGAACACGCCAGACAGGTCAGGGATAAAGTTATTGAGAAATTTAAAGCAGGCTTAGGCTACAAAAACATTTCCCAAGCCTTGAACATCCCACGGAGCACTGTTCAAGCGATCATTCAGAAATGGAAGGAGTATGGCACAACTGTGAACCTACCAAGACAAGGCCGTCCACCTAAACTCACAGGCCGAACAAGGAGAGCACTAATCAGAAATGCAGCCACGAGGCCCATGGTGACTGTGGACGAGCTGCAGAGATCTACAGCTCAGGTGGGGGAATCTGTCCATAGGACAACTATTAGTCGTGCACTGCACAAAGTTGGCCTTTATGGAAGAGTGGCAAGAAGAAAGCCATTGTTAACAGAAAACCATAAGAAGTCCCGTTTGCAGTTTGCCACAAGCCATGTGGGGGACACAGCAAACATGTGGAAGAAGCTGCTCTGGTCAGATGAGACCAAAATGGAACTTTTTGGCCAAAATGCAAAACGCTATGTGTGGAGGAAAACTAACACTGCACATCACTCTGAACACACCATCCCCACTGTCAAATATGGCAGCATCATGCTCTGGGGGTGCTTCTCTTCAGCAGGGACAGGGAAGCTGGTCAGAGTTGATGGGAGGATGGATGGAGCCAAATACAGGGCAATCTTGGAAGAAAACCTCTTGGAGTCTGCAAAAGACTTGAGACTGGGGCAGAGGTTCACCTTCCAGCAGGACAACGACCCTAAACATAAAGCCAGGGCAACAATGGAAGGATTTAAAACAAAACATATCCATGTGTTAGAATGGCCCAGTCAAAGTCCAGATCTAAATCCAATCGAGAATCTGTGGCAAGATCTGAAAACTGCTGTTCACAAACACTGTCCATCTAATCTGACTGAGCTGGAGCTGTTTTGCAAAGAAGAATGGGCAAGGATTTCAGTCTGTAGATGTGCAAAGCTGGTAGAGAGACAGACCCTAAAAGACTGGCAGCTGGAATTGCAGCAAAAGGTGGTTCTACAAAGTACTGACTCAGGGGGCTGAATAATTACGCACACCCCACTTTGCAATTATTTATTTGTAAAAAATGTTTGGAATCATGTATGATTTTCGTTCCACTTCTCACGTGTACACCACTTTGTGTTGGTCTTTCATGTGGAATTCCAATGAAATTGATTCATGTTTGTGGCTGTAATGTGACAAAATGTGGAAAAGTTCAAGGGGGCCGAATACTTTTGCAAGCCACTGTATGACCTTACTTTGGACCTCTGACTTCTTCAAGGTCAAATAAAGTCAAGCTTTCATAAAATGCCTTTTATCTTCAAAGTGATGCTTAAAATTCTACTGCCTTTGTTTGTATTGGCAACATTAAGAAAATGATACTCTTTTTGGGGATTCTAATTATCACATTATATTCATCTAAACATGTCGCATTTGACCTCTGACCTCACTTTACATGACGTCTGCCTTTCTTTCAAGTTGATCCCAATAAGAGTTACATCTTTAAAGTATTGTCAAGAGTTAGAATGAGCTGCCTAGTTAGAAATATACTGTAGTATATTATTATATAACAAGCTCAAGTTAGTCATGTCCAGTTATTTATGTGAAGGCCCATCATCCATTAGCTACTCCTACAAAACATTAGTGTAAGCAAAGTAAATGCCGTGCTACCCTTATCTTATTTATTCATGTATTTGTGCACTTTTTTACTATAATTGGTGTCTTCAGCTGCTGATCATTTGGTGAGTTATTTAGTGACTAAGGTCAAAGTTATCCTTTTTATTCATAGGTTAGAGTCAGAAAACCTCAGACATTAGACATCATAGTTGTTATATTGAGAACAATTATTTAATAATATAAGTATTGTTATTATAATTATGCTACAAGTAGGTGGGATGCTAAAACTCATCCCTACTTCATATGACCAAAGAAAAACCAATACATGAAATCCTGCAGCCTCTAATATGGAAATGGTCACTCTATGGACAGTTACCAAAATCCTGGACTAAAAGAGTGAGGTCTGCTACTGACCAATGCAGGTCCTAGCTGGCACAGAGGACTGGCTGATCCAGAAAGAGACCCAGGACAGAACCACCAACAGAATGGAGGGAACATACGTCTCCAAGATGAAGAAGAGCACATTTCTGCGCAGTGCAAAATGCAGCACCAGCTTGGGGTAATTTCCTGCAAAGGACATAAAGAGACATAAAAAGAACGAGGGAAAAAATACAGATTTAAACAATCCTGTGGTGCATTTGTGCTCCAATAGCAGCTGCCATTGGATGAATCCTAACATGCAAAGGAAATCCAGAGAGCTCAAATATGTTACCTGTTTCGTACACAGCCTCTGACACTGATGTGTAGTAGCTCTCCACACTATACTGTGCCAGCCTCAGTGTGTTCAAACCCTTCACTGAATCATTTCCTCTGGTCCAGTAGAACACCACATCCTGTAGGTTATACCCCCCTGAAAGGACAAAGAGTAGTTAACCTTTGGCTAGTGAAGTGCTTGGTGTAAAGCTGGCTTTCAGTTTCATACTCACTACACAGAGGCTGATGAAAATGGTAGTAGTGATGATGATGATGATTTATGTCCAGCTACACACATGACTGATGGTTAATGGAGCTCACAGTGAAATACTCACAGCTCTCCAGCTGAAGGGTGCACACCTGTCTATCCATAGGGTACTTAGTCAGATCCATGTTGCAGGCGATCGTAGCCGTGATGCTGTTGGGCATTCAAAGCAGGCATTCATTACCAAGCTTCAAAAACCCAACTGAAATGACTGCAGCTCTGCTGATTTATAACAGGGGATGTTAATTATTAGTGAACATAAAGAACTCTTCTCCCCTGATGAACATCCAAGAGATCAAAGACTTATATCTGGAGTATCATCATTGTGTCTCACATATGAATTATGTGCACAGTGTTGTCGGATTGCAAAAATGAGGCCAGGTTGCTCGAGTTCTACAACATTCAATCACCTCCACACAATCAGATGATGGCTCCAGCTATCAATCAGTTTCGGTACTCAAGAAGAAGGAAGATACTGAACATACTGTACACAGCTGACCTTTCTTTCATCTGTCAAACTGTCTAGTCAAAAAAAAGTTATATGGAAGTGTGAGCTGACAGATTAGCCTGGCCTGATTTTTAATACTCATATGGAACTCTGCAAATCTTCACTGCCAAAGGCTTAAGTGTTTGAAGGGCAGAACATACAGGAATGCAGAGCCATACCCCTGAGATGAATGAATGAGGGATGACATTTGCTTTTTAGTCATACTCCTAGTTATTTTTTCCCCTTTCTTTTTATATAGAACGTGAGAGCAGTGTGGGGTTGACTGGATTTGTTTTCTTCTTGTCTGTGACCAGCAGCGTGAAATGTCAGCTGTCAGCGAGCGTCAAAGCTTCGGTAAAGAAATGTACCGAAGAGCATAGAGAACAGTTCCATTGCTGAAGATGCGTATGAGGCGATTTTCCACGGTGACATCGTGCAGGAAGGAGCGCTTGGAGTCTGGGATGAAAGTGTCAGGGATCCAGAGCAGTGACACCAGGCGACCGTCCACGCTCACGCTCTCATTACCGGGGAACATCAGCCTAGCATCACGCCAGCGCTGACGGAGGAAGATTGTCGCTGTGTAGTCCTGAAAAGATACAAAAAACATATAAAGACGCCTGCTCCCTCGTTTGATCGCGCAGATGACAAAAATAGAAGGTGTACCATATTGATTTCAGAGATGGCATCAATGCTGGCGATATCAAGGCTCATTCCAATTTCCACTGGGCCCTCTGTTCAGGAGACACACATGCGAAACAGTACAACTGGTCCACTCTTAAGTGAAAGACACAGAAGCTCTGACGACTTTTAGAAAGTTAAAAAAAAAAGCTTAAAAAATAAATGTCTCAAGCAACTTCATACCATTGAAATTAGGTCTGAGGTAGCGGTTATAGCCTTTCATGAGCTTTTGTATTGTTGGCAGAAGCTGGGAGTCGTTCCATTCACCCCAGTGGTTGCTATGGAATGCACAGCTCCTGATAAAAGCAGGGAAAAATGAAAAAGGAAATGAGAGAAACAATGAGACAAACAAGTGGGCGTGCTTTTTTGACCTCAGAGTCACTCACCCCTGCGTAAAGGTCAGGAGGATGATGAGTAACAGGTTGGCAGACATCCTGGATCAGCTGGCAGAGGTCAGAGAGATGTGATGAGGACTAAAACACAAACACAAGAGCTGTTTTCATTTAATTGGGATGACACAGTTTGACCATAAGGTGGCAGCAACTAACTAAATGTGACTACAAAGCACAGTGGAAGTCTGCAACGCAGCAGTCATCCTCACTCGTTTCTTGTTAGATAACTGCGCGTTCACCCTGACACGATAGTTTTAAAATGTTTTGTAAACTTGCATTGATCCCCACCTCTATTACTCGCTCCAATATTATATATTAGTAGCGTTTCCAATGCCTTCACACACTCGTGCAGACACACACAAATACACACACATAGACAAACATTTTGTTTAGATAGGCATGTATGTACGTCTAACATTTATTTTATTTATTAATATTTTTTTAAATATTGCAGTTACTCTGATCTGCTGATATATGTGGCCTCGATCACATTTTTTGTTTTTCAGAATTCTTCAACTAACCCTCTCATCAAGGAAGAAATCCTCACAGGAAACCCTTCCCCTCCTCCTCCTTTCCCTGATTGATTTCACTGTCAGTAACAGACTTCTGTCCTTTCACTTTATACTTTCATCCGAACCATGCAAATCTGTCCTGCATGTTATTGTGCTTCAGTTATCATCAAAGCAATCTGCAGCTAATATATCGCCATATTGCCAGCAGTCTAGAAAAGCAGCATTTAATTTTCAATGCGTTATTTACACTGAAGTGCCATTCTAAATGACTGTGCGAACCAACACTATTGATTCCCCTTCGCCAGGGGCCAAAATGGCACAGAATGTTATCAGGTTGTAGTTGTCAGGTGAACATATTCTCCTGTTTGGATGCATTTTTTTCGCCGGCTGCTCTGAAGCTTAGGCTGAAGCCTGCTGTGTTAGTTTTGCATTGCATCATGCATGTTTCCCTTTGTCCTCACATCTGTCTTCCGGTTTATCCTCTTTTCCCATGTATTGAACTGCACAACAGCATATTGTCAGATACTACCTTGCCTATATGTGGATCTACATTCAAATAAACATTTCTGTTTACTTTTTTTTCTTTTACACTGCTTACGTACAAATTTCTAACTCTTACCTGCCTCAGCCGTGCTCTTATGTCCTCCTTTTTATTTCCACTTGGTCACTCTTCTGCTCTCTCTCAGCTCTCTTTTGTTTCCTCCTGTGCTCTTCTGCCTTCCTGTATCCCAAGTGTTGCCAGTGGCTGATATTGGTCCACTTTCTTGTTTACTTCTGATTATATACCCCTGTGTGTCTTCAGGCTACCGTTAAAGCATCTAATATTTGGTCCTTTGTGTCTTACTGCTGGTTGTTCCACTATCTGTGCAACTCCCTCTGTCTCTCTGCACAGCTGTGTTGATCTCCCCGCAGAGCCTCTGTGCAGCCCCCCCTCCCTCTCTCTTCGTACTACTCATTTGCGCTGCACTTTTTTTCTCTGCCCCCCCTTCACATACTCACACACACACAGAATAGCATCTAGTTTGAGCTCTTACATCACTCCCTTTTTCTCATTCTTCCTATTCTTTTTGGCCCCTTACTCTCTATCTACCTCCTACCGAGACTGTCCGAGCCCCGGCTCGGACAGTCTCGGTCGTTGTGTCCTTGGGCAAGACACTTCACCCGTTGCCTACTGGTGGTGGTCAGAGGGCTCGGTGGCGCCAGTGTCCGGCAGCCTCGCCTCTGTCAGTGCGCCCCAGGGTGGCTGTGGCTACAATGTAGCTTGCCATCACCAGTGTGTGAATGTGTGTGTGAATGGGTGGATGACTGGATATGTAAAGCGCTTTGGGGTCCTTAGGGACTAGAAAAGCGCTATATAAATACAGGCCATTTACCATTTTACCATTTACCGCTCAATTTACACTGACACTGTACCTCCTTCTGGGCTTCAAAGCTTGACTGTGTCTCATCCCCTCATGCCCTCTCCATCTTCATCGTTCCTTTGCATCAATGTCATCATCCGAATTAGCTTCCTCTCGGCTCTGTCTGCAACTTAACTTCAATGAAATACCCATGCAGCTCAGACAAAAGTAACAATTTTGACTACTTTCATCTTCATAAAGCTTGCCCTTTGCCACTGTTGTAGGAAGTGCACATGTAGTCCTGATGATGAAAAAGCTGCTTGATGCTGCTATAAGGAGCAGATCCTGGTGATGATTTGTCAACATCCAGAGATGTAAACTGCAGCTCAAATACCAATACTGCTTGTGTGCTGTGTGGTCAGTCATTCATCTCCAGCGCTGCCGACTTTATGGGATTCAGCCCCAACTATAATTATATAGCCTGACCTCTGAGAACCCACGGCTGGATCTCCAGCATATGTGCAAGAACCTTTGGGGTATACTTGTTTACAACACTTTATGAGATTTCAGAGATGCTTGTACCTACTGCAGCCAATTATTTTGCTAGTCTGTGTTTCCCAGCACTGACTAATGATTGTAAATGGTCAGTAACAAGCTGCTGCAGTATTTTTTGCTTTACTCAGTTATTTAGTGAATCAGTAACACACTGTGGGCGTAAGGCTCCCTTTTTCTCAATTTCATGCTCCAATGGCTGCATGTCTGAAATAAACAATCTGTTTATTAAACAGTGATGGTGAAGGGGAGCTGTGGAATGAACATAAGAAAATCGTGTAGAATTTGCTTCCATGTGGAGAATCGTGTGAAACGCAGTGCGCACATTCCTTGACAGTGAAAGAGACAAATGGAGACATTTGTGAAGCACCTGAAGGGGGAGGATGTAAATGTTTTATCTGTGTGCTAGAGGGCTATTGAATAATTATAGCCAGAGCAGTGATGTCACAGTGGGAGACAGCTTTGTATTAGTCAGCATCCAGCTGACATTCTTGTCCTACCTGCGTACATGTTCATTTCTACCTGTGATTGAGTGCTCCTTTTACTTCCCCTACCACTGATAAACATGCAAAATCATTGTTCCCCCTGCCTGTTAATGACCTGATTACCTCTGATCACTTATGTCTGGCTTCATGTCAGGGTAACAGAAGTGGCTAACAGTGCTAATGAGGGCCAGTGGTAACCAGTGAATACCAAAGGCCATATGAATGACCTTCTGGACCTCGAATATATGTAAATCATTACACATCTGAAGTGGGTGATGAACACAAAACAAAATTAATACATATTACTGTTAGTAATGTATTCATAACAAATAAGGGGAAAAGAAAACATGCCAATATGTTAGAAGTGTACCACAGAGTGAAGAGTACAGGAGTGTGTTCCTCTTTAGTTGGTGCAGCATGATTGAATAAACTGCTGGTCTGCAAATATCAGGTAGGAACTAATAATCCTGGGGTGGATGAGGGAGGGGCTTTAAACACTAAAATTTATTGCTTTATTAATAACTGTCACAACCCAGGACCAGTTATTGAAATGCCCATATGTCTTGCATGCCAGTTTATGTGTCTGTATATTTAGTGCTTCTGTAAAGCAAGAGTCTTCCACGTTAAATCCTCGTATCGGTGACCGGTGACCCTTTAGGCCACCCCTTTGGTTCATTTTTCATTTTAAATGCAGTAACCTACCTGACAGCTCTGTGCTGCCACAGCAGCCTTCTGCTACTTATGTGTCACTCACTTCTTTTATCTCTTCTTGCTCTGCTTATGTTTATTTAAGTTAACCTTTGACAACCTTGAGCATCTTCTTTCATTTTCTTTCCATCTGTCTGCACGCTGTTCCCTATCATCTCCTATCATACAGCCAGCCAAAACACTTGAGTCTGCGCTTTGGTTTCGTTCCCACCCCAGTTGCGTAACCTACATAACCATCTTTTTTTCTTTCTTCTAAATCTCTTTGCCTCGCTGTCTTTACTCATGCTCTCTCTCTATTTTTCACTGCTTATCAGAACGATAAGCATTTCGACACCATGTTTCAGGTAATGTTCAGCTCAGAATCTGCACTGAGGCAACAGAAAATGGAAACGTCACTGCCCCCACATTTGCCCAGTGATTTGCTGTCATGTGACAAATGGAAATGTCACAGGACTGCCCACGAGAGGGACACAGATAAATCTCTCCTAAATGACTGTGACGGCAGCCATGTCCAGGAGGAACACATGAATTAATGTGGCGTAGACGCCGCTGCTTTGAGCATGCTGTCATGTCTCCCTGTGACTGGTGTATCTGCTTGAGAGGTGGATAAGTGTTTCTGTTGTTTCTCTCTTCAGATATGAACATTAAATTGTCATTCAACTTTTTGTTTTTGCTCTTTTAGGGCTACTTGCCAAGGCGCTTGACTTGTTCCCTGGATTTTACCTGAGGCGTAGTTTATTGACGTTCTTTTGTGACAATTTTTAAACATTTTCCTCTTTACATCGTCCTTCTGTCATCGCACTTGTTGATCTCCAGGTTTCTCCTGGCTCAAGTCCTGTCTCCAATCTTTGTCAGAACATTTGTTTTTATTCACTCCTCTCAAACTTATATACGTATACACAGACTGCCAGATTCATTATTCATCTTCGCTCCCTGTACTCCCACATCTTCCTGCCTTTCATGTCTTTGTTGTTAAAGTTAGGTTGAAATCTTTTCATCCCTTTTTTGCAAGCTATCACTTTTGTGATGTAAACTGCCTGGTCTCTGAAGAGCAGAATATTCACAAAAGTATCATTAAAATGCTCTTAAAACAATGCTCACAGAGCATGGGACACCCTTCTGTTTGGGACTGGGAAAGCAGCACAAAGCAACCTTAAGGACTGCTAACCACGACTAGATTTGATCATCAGTAAAGAATGATTAAGAATTTGACTCTCTGAGGATTAGAAACATCCTGAAAAAAAATGGCTCGTGGGGAAACTCTCACACTGCTTAGACAGCCTGAGAGAACCACACTCTGTACTCACAGTTTTGAATAAGAACTGACAATAACATTGAATCAGTATCATACCAAAACAAGCTGTGTGGTTTTCTGGTCTTTTAAAGCCTTTACACAGATTTTCATGATTAATTTATTAAATATAAGAATCCATACTGAGATTTTTTATTTATTTATACATGTTATTTTGCCAGCGATAAGCAAAATATGCAAGCGAACCAGGAGTCATCTAAAATTCAGTCTGGGCTCTATGCCCAAAGCTCAGATGACCCACAGTAGTTTATGTTTTGGTTTTCTGAACACAAAAGTTTTTGCTTTAAAAAGATTCAAAATTGAAAAGATGAAAACGTAATATATGAAACTTCACCTACATGTTTTCTGCGCTCATAATTTCATCATTTTTGAAAAGATGCCCAACACCAAACCACAGGCAGTATTTTACACTGTTCCTCTCTCCTGACATCCTCAATAGATACTGAGGAACACTGGACCCAAAATTTCAAATTTGGGTTCATCACTCACCTGTTGCCACTGAATTTAAGTGCGGTTCTTGTGTAATTTTTGCATACATCAGCCTTGCAAGAATGGCTGCTTGATCATCACCCTTCCACTGGGACCATTTTAGCCCTGCCACGTCATCTTTTGTTCCTCCTCTTGTCCAGTTTCCTCAAATGTTTGAAGGACACACTGCACACCACAGTGAGATCTGCGTGTTTTCAATCATCAGTTTGCAAGAAAGTGCTATTTTTTGCCTGTCAAACTATGTTCTCTCTGGCATTTTTGTAGACATTTTCTTTTAGTGATACGAAATCAAAATTTGTTCTTTGCTAGGTTGTCTGCTATGACTGTGGTGTTTCTTTTATGTGATACAGTGATATGTACGGCAGTGTTTTAAAACACCATCAAAAAGCCTGAAGACTATTCACGACACCTTTAAAAGAATATAAGAAAGCCTCTTCTCTCAAAAAGAAGCCAACAGATAACCAACAGGGCAGCATGCCTTAGATTTGCAAAATTGCACCTGAACAAATCACAATACTTCTAGGAAAATGTCCTTAAGCAGATGAGACCTACGTAGCTATGTTTGACTTTAATTCACAACACCAAGTTTAGTGAAAACCAAACACAACATACCAGCACAAACACCTCATACCAACTGTCAGCACAGTGAAGGGGTGATGATGTGGTTGTTTTGCTGCTGCAGGATGTGGGCACCTTGCATTAATTGAGTTGACCATGCACTCCTCTGTATACCAAAGTATTCCGAAGTAAAATGTGAGACCATCTGTCTGACAGCAAAATCTTGGATGAATCTGGGTTATGCCACAGAACAAGTACAGCAGCAAATTTACAACAGAATGGATGGAAAAGAAAACAAGTAAGGTATTGCAATAAATCATCAATACATAATTTTTTCTGGCGTTCTAATATGTAAAACCTTAGCTCTGAAAGACACTGTACTTTTGGTTTTACTGTGAATGCATATTTTTCTCTTTATATCTT